CTGGTTCTTTGCTCTTTTTTGTGCAATGTTTTGTTATTTCGTTTCTGGAAACTCATTGATTCAGTTTATTTCTGGAAACATTGATAAGCAAATGGAACTGTCATTGGACCAAAATGGTGTAAATTATGGCCTATATAGTATCTAATTTCGTCATTATTAAAAATACTTTATTCTTGCTTTGCAAATTAATTAATTTCAGACAGTGATTGCCATTTGATGTTCAGATGACAGGCTGGGGAGAAAGAAAGTTATGTGGAGAACTTGTTCCTGTCTCTTCATGGGAACAGATTTAAAAATGTAAATATTTTTCTCCTGCTGTAAGAGATAACAGAGGGAGTAACTCTTACCAAATGTATGTCTTGCTCAACACTACATGCCATTATGCAACAATGACAGCACTCCCATCTCTAGTCAGACAGGGCTTCCAAGTTTTAACACTAAAAATAAAAGGAAAAAATACTGTTTTTATCAATTCCATACACTAATCTTCTTCATCCCAATCTTTATATCTTTCTACTTTATGTGGGCAAGAAATGGTTATACCAGGAACGTGGAATCCCTGTTGGATTACTTGCTTGTGTTAAGAAGAGGATTCGCTCTGAAACTAATCACAGTTAAACAGGGAACAGTGTATAGCAGCTAGTTTTCAGATTCTTGTACTTTTTTTTAGCTTTTGGCTAAATTATTTCTGTATTACTATTATTTCTGTATTGTATTGTTTATGATTACATTCCTGATTTTTAATATTATCAGCTTAATCCAGTCAGGCATTCTTTTGCATACATCTAATAACCCAAATATCAGAAAACTTGAAAGTGTGCTTCTGTTAAGTTAGCTTAAAATTTTATGAGAAGTGGTTGCAAGTGCCAAGGGGATCATTGATTTCTGAGAACTTTAGTTGATATATGCAGACTGTTCTCATGTATCCAGGCAACTGTCATCCAGAGGGATGGAAAAGCTTGCAAAGTTACTCTGCTTTCTAAAAAGTATTCAGAAAAAATCTCATGCTGCAGTCCTGTTAAATTTTTGAGGTGAGGGGGACTGTCCTCTATGAAGGAGTGAGAGGCAGGATTACTTGCAGAAGAGGAGGCTGGAGAACTGGAATGGTAATTCTTCAACAAGCAGTAAGTCATGGAGGCAGTGTATGTTTGAAAGTGACTTCTTGATGCCTGTTCAAGGCAGTCTTTCTCAACAACTGTTTTTGCAGCTCTGAAAAAGTCAGGCCTTTACTTTATCTTCAGAATTGAGTGGTTGGTGGTTTTTCCTTTCTCTAATATGGAGCTTTTTGTATGGAGACAAGGATGATGCTTCCTCAGAGACAGAGAGATATTGACACAGATGATGGTGTAGCCTAGCTTGTTGAAGAGAACGTTAATGTATTTTGACAGGTCCTCTGGTAGAGGATGAACTAGGTGCTTCACAGTATTTTTAATCAGTCTGGAAGCCAGTGGCAAAATGGTTGAGCAGAAAAGGGGTTTTAAAGAGGAGATAACCATCATGGAGAAAATGTAAATTGAAACTGATTTATGTCTTATTATATCTTGGCAACAAGCAAAATCCAGCACAGTTGAACACTTTACACTGTGGAGACTCTTTGAAAGTAAGTTAGGAAGGAAAAGCCTACCTTTTCCACTTTCCTATCAGTAATATAGCTCATCTTCCTTCCCCACCTATTACTTGCTTCTCTCCACCTTATGTATCTGACAGGCGACTTTAGGTAAGCACTAATTGTCTCTCCAGTAAATTGTCCCACATTTAGGTGGGAGTGTGACATGGTTCTAGTCTTTGAAATAGTTTATAAATCTTGCAAGCACACAGTGAAGGTTTTCCCTCCAAGATGTTAGGAATGGATATAGGGTTTGTTTCATTGTGTGATCAGAGCAGTCATGCAGCAGCTTCTTGCCAGATCTCTAGTGCCTGTAGCCAGCTGGTAAGTGTATTCCGGTTTCTTTAGCTGATTCCTACTGCAATGTCCACAGCTCTACTCAGAGCTCTGAGTAGAGCTGTGGACATTGCAGTAGGAAAGAATCTGACCACTGTTAGCTGACACTGGCATAATTGCTGTGCCATTCTTTAGTAAATGCCATTCTTTAAATAGCCTTTTTTCGCTATAGAGAGGCAAACTTTTTAGGGAGTGATAACTTCTCTTTCCTAGAATAAATAATATATTTAGAAGAATGGGCAGGAGGTTAGCACATACATACTCTTTTTATCAGGTGTATTAAAAAAGCTGTGCTACATAGCTTTTGGTTGGTTAGCATCAGCAACAGAAGTTCTGTTGTCTTAATTTGATATATCAGATTAGAGGTATCTGTAGAAACTTGAGCGCCGCAGCTCAGTTGTTGATATTGTAATTAGTGAGACATTTCAGTTAGTAGAAGCCCATCTGTGGTGATTTCAGAACTAACAGTATTATTTTAAATACACATTTCGTGGTCTAATTTAAGAGGTACTTCTGCTCTGAGATGCATCACTGTAAATGAAAACAGATATATATTTATGATCCACTCAGAGATGTAATCTAGAATGACTGAATGAGTGGTCATGGGAAGCAAAGCATTAGAATATGTTTTATCCAAAACTTGTTTTACATGTATTTGTGCTGGTACTTTCAGAGTATAAACATATGCTGAAGGCCTTTCTGTAACAGTTGTGTTTTTTTCTGAGACAAAATAATGAGGCAGTGAGTAGGATTCTAGCATTTGTATGGTAATCTCATAAAGCTCTGTCTCACTTAAAGCAAATGTGGCTACCGTGTTCTTAAATCTTGTACATGTGAAGGACTTCTGGATTCAAACTGCCTCGTACTCTGATATCAATGCATAAATGGATGTAGGACCTGAATTACTGACAATGCCTTTAAAATTGAAAAAAAAGTGTATGCATTGTAGTATTGTGATTTTAAAGTCTAGTACACTTAGCTTGATCTAGAAGACCACTGGATTTGAATTTTAGCATTTGCATATATAAATAAATAATCTGTTAATTTTTTTAATAGCCAGTGATTTTTTAAATTAGGTATGACAAGGAAATATCTGCTAATAGAGAAGAGCAAATAAATTAGTTGCAATAAGATATAATTAGGTTTAGGTAAAGCAGATTTTTAGCTTAAAAAAGGTGCAGAGTTGCATGTTTTCTAGTGTTAGGCTTCTAAAATGTCTGATAAAATATGTGAAACTTTCACAGTCATATAGTTGCATGAAAAATATATCTTGAAACATCCTTATTTTCTTGTTACATTTTAGTTGTTATTTAAAATGTTTAATCATAACTAAATTTACTTGTAGACCTTGTTGAAATAACAATTCTGTTTAGTAATTCTCTTATATTTAATATATACATTATTTGAAGAGAATGAGAGGTACAAGACCATTGCAAACTGTTGCTCATTTTTTTTATTATACTTTCAGATTGGATTTCACTTGCCTATTTATTCTTTGTCATTTGTTGTTTGTGGATGGTTTCAGACATCTAGTACAATTTTAAGCAGACCTTGCTATTTTTCTGTCTTTGCCTTTTTTACATATCTTGTAAGTCCAGACCTCTTTAAGTCTCTGGAATTCTCTTATTTCTCTTAGGAATTCAGAAGAGTTTCATTTTTAAAAATCCCTTAAGCACTTAATTATGTTATATTGTTGGGGGTGAATATATTGTCATAAGCATTTCAGGAATCAAGGAGGTGTGATAATACTTGTTAACAACTTCAGAGAGCTCTGAAATATTTGTGAGATCTGTCTTGGTTTTATAAAAAGCTGTTCTTCTGTATTCTATCCATCTGTCTGGTGCTTCTGTTATTCACTGCTTTAGTTGCACACAAGTTTTAATTTTCTACTTCATAATCCCTGAATTTCCCTTGTATCCTTTCTGAAGGGCTGTCAGATACCTGCTCCTTTGATGCTAGTGCAACCTGGATGAAAGGCTATGCAGTGCAGTTGGGCAGTTCTGTACTTCAGAAGTGTTGGATCTCTCTCATCTGATTTCAGAGATTTGGTGTATGTGGATGTCCTTCTGTGCTGACATTTAAGTGAGAGACAGTTTCTCAGGCTTGTGTTGAGCTCTTCTGGATCTTCTTTGGACACTGTTCAAGTGTTTTGCTTGTTCTTTGAATAACTGGTTGTTTTAGTCCATATCTATTAAATATTTGCTCCTTTATGATAAGAAGGTTGTCCTCTTGGGTAGAACATAGTAACAGCCAATGATGAATCAGACCAAAGATGCATTTACTTAGTCCGGTACTCCTTTTTGACAGAGGACAGTAGTAGACATTCTTAAAAAGTAAAAATGGATAAAGAAGGTAATGGTTCCCTGTAATACTTTCTTGGCATCTTTTATTCTTAGGTTAATCAAAATACCTGTACGTGCCACATTGTAAAAAAAAAAAAAAAAAAACAACCCAAAATTAACTTCCCAGAATGGTGGAGGTTGTAAAGGACCTGTGGAGGTCATCTTTTCCAAAACCATGGCTCTGTCAGGGTTCTCTAGAGCAGGGTGCATATCCAGAGGACAAGCTACCTGCAAGTTAACATTAATTTTATAATGAGACATAATTCAAGTTAAAGAATTAGCAGATTGCCTATTTTTGTACAAAATTCCCTAGATACCAATGTATCTAGATTTGCAAATAAGTTTTTTTTCCCCAGTGTTAAAATAATGGATTGCTTTAAATAGCTAAGTAACTATTACTTTAAAGTTAACATGATGGAATCCAAAGTGTAAACTACAGGAAACATCTAAATTTTTTACCTGGACTTTTCATTCAAATGTCATTTATAATATCCTAGCCGTGATAAGTATCTATGCAACACAAATACTTTTATATGTTCAGCATAATAAAATTGTTTAGGATTTTATGCAATATGTAATCTAAATTTAAGACAAGTTGTGCAATTCATCAGAGCAGCTCTTTGTATGAAATACTGCATCATGATTTATCCAGTGTGTTCTTAGATGCTACAATTAATATTTTTTTCAAATGAAAAATGTTCTTGTATCTTTTCCAGGGTTCAGCTGATCCCTTAAACAGTGCTTTCCACCTGACATACAACATGGTATTGAACTTACTTCGAGTAGAGGAAATTAACCCTGAATACATGTTAGAAAAATCATTTTATCAGTTCCAACATTGCAGAACTATTCCAGAAATAGTGGAAAGTAAGTATTGCTGCATGTTCTCATGTGAGTAGGTATAATACATGGTAAGGCTGGGTATTTTTATTATGCTCATAGTAGTTTTTACCTGTGCAGTTTTTGTCTTCCCTGCCAACAGGGAAGGTGCACAGTTGCCACTGCACCATTTCTTGCCATGTTATGGTTTCAGTAATTTCCTCTTGTTCTTAGGACCTAAACTTATATGCACCGTCAGTTTATGAAGAGAGCTTTCCTCTCTGAGTCAGACAAAAATGATTGTCACATTGCTAAACTATAGGATGGGAAGAAGGAAAAACAATTTAAAACTTCCCATGGCTCATTTGAGATGCAGGGAAGAAAAATCTTAGGGAAGAAAGTCTTTCACCTTTTCATATCTCAGTACAAGCTGTAAAAAGAACTTAAATGCACTGCATTCAGAGTAGTGTAGGTAAGAAATACTTAATTATAATACAAATAAAAATTCAGAGAGATCTGGGACTTTAATTGCACTCCACTGAGTAAACTAAGTAAGTACATTTTGAGCCATGATCTTTGAATAGTGAGTTTTCATGACCAAAGTCAGTGTCCGGAAATTTCAGCCAGTGTTCGAGAGTGAGGCCTCTTTCAAAACTTAATCCAGGAGAATCTTAAGAACATGAGAGGTAATTATGATTATTGAGCAGTTTATCTGTTCATTTGGTAACTGACTGTTAAGAGAGAAAGTGTGTATGTGCATGTAGCTTTGATAGCCATGCAGAGGGAGGGTTTCAGTTACTTTTCTGTTAGTTTGCAGGTGTAGTAGTAGTTCAATATAGTATTTATTTCCTTCCTTTATTTCCCTGTTCCAGTTGGCATGCCTAGATCTTTATTCAGTCATTCCACATTGATGTTTAAATAGCAAAATGGAGCTGAAGAACATTTTTCATTGTTTTTGGACAGTTTCAGTTTAGGCACTGTACTGGGCATTAGAATTTTGTAATCCCTTCAGATGCAATTCAAAGCACAAGGGAGACAATTGGCTACTTAGACTAAGGAAGAAAGTATACCATGAGTATGAATGGATAGCTTATTTCTTTATAAAAATTGGCGGGTAAAATAAGGAGCACTTTCCTGAGTTGTCTCTCAAGTCCCAATGAAGTGGGATTTCCAGGCCACTTAAGAGCCTTTAAAAACAGCATGCAAGAGGATGAGTTGGTGGACAGGAAAAAGATATTTTTTATAATCTGTTCTTTGTTTTTGTTTGCTGGTGATAATACCAGAATAAGAGAATGAATCATACCATTTAGAATAAAAACTGATCTGCTTAAATAAGGTATAAAAATACAGAAGGAAGAAAATACTGATTTTCAATTGATCAGAACCTCAGACAAGTTAGGAGGAGCATCTAACAACTCCCCTCTTGTTGAAACACAGCTTTTTAGAAGATATCTGTGAGCAATCTTATTTTTTGTAGGAGGATATAAAAATCAGTGGTAGACACCATAGTGGTAGACCTTTCTACAAAATCATTGCAAGTTTTAATGTGGCTTCTGTGCAAACCTAGAGATCAGTTATTCCTGGATAATTGGGTATCAGCCTTTTCCAGTTTCTCAAGATTGTTTATTTTAAGAAAATAATACTGGTATTTAATTCAGTGGACAAATTTAGATTTCTGGCTTTCCAGAGAATGGGTTATTGTAAGTAAAAAATTAGTACTAAAAGTGGTCACAAAATATTAGTCATGGAGATCTGAAAGTGAAACACTGATTCCTCAATCTTTGTGAAGCTATTAATTTTCATGAGATTTTACTTTTCATTATAGGAGTCAATAATTTGGAAGCACAATACAACAAAATTGTAATTCCCAATGAAGAAAATGTGGTGATATACTACAGAATCCGCCAGCAGCTTGCAAAACTGGGTAAAGATATTGAAGAGTATATTCACAAACCAAAGTACTGCTTGCCCTTTCTACAGCCAGGAAGACTGGTAAAGGTACCTTGATTTTTCTTTTGTTTTGTTTTTCATTTCTGCCTATTTGTGAAATCTGCAAGGTTCATTTGTGTCTGCCAGTTTACCATCTTGAAAAATTACCTGTGTCACACTAAGCACCAATTTTGACTTGTGTTTCTTTGCTAAGTATTCAATAATGCATTAAAATCAATACTGTTTCCATGATGACTAGTCGTCCACAGCTGCTGTTGTAAATATCAAAAATAAAAAATGTTGTGCTTGCTAGGATGTTGTTATATACGTTATAACATCTTGTAATATTTCCAGGTGAAGAATGAAGGTGATGACTACGGATGGGGAGTGGTTGTTAATTTCTCTAAGAAATCAAATGTTAAGGTAAATACACATTCTCTCCATTACCAAAATATATATCTGACTGTTTTTTTTTTTCTGAAAATAAGATAAAACTCCTATTTCTTTATAGTTCTTAAAGGCAAAAAAAATTCTTTTACTGCAAATTTACAAAAGCTCTGAACTTCCTGAAATGAAAGTGTAAAGAAATAAAGCTATAGAAGATGAAGAAAACTCTAAGTCTCGTGTTCAGTATTTAACTTGTAACGTATTTGTGGAGGAACTGCTTGCTTGAATATGCATAGCAATGAAAATGTTTCAAACTAAGTTGTTTCTGAGATATTGCCAGTGCTAATTTAAGTTGTTCATGAGAAAGATACTGTATTGTTTTCTCTCGGAAAATCTATAGAAGCCCTAAGTGAAGGCTGAGAACAGTGGGAGACGGACTTTTAGCTCTATGAAGGTTATCTTAAACTGGCAGATTGTGCTTTGAGTCGTAAGTTAGGGTGTGAGACATAGAATTGCTTGTCCACTGAGATGTTGCTATAGAGTTGGAAAATTGAAATACAAAGAGAGCAAAACAATAGAAATGGATCTGAGGACATTTGGAAGAAAAGACAGAGGACAGTGACACAATAGAAGCCAGACTTCCAGAAATGCATTCTCATAGTTGGTCTCTGTGTAACCCTTAGATGATGTGTTGGTCTCCCTTTCAGAAATGTTTTGACCAGCTAATCTGCTCTGTAAATGAAAACCTAAGTTACAACCATATTTTTCCTGTGATAGCATTTTAGCAGGCTGTAATTTTCGCAGAGCATTGGCTTTATTTGCTGTGTCTAAATGCAGAGTTATGTCTGTTAAATTCTGGTGGTGCCTGTGCCATCTTTTGATGCTTTTCTAATATATATTCATTAAAGAGGAAATGAGAAAAATGTGTTCATACAGAACTTACTAAAAGAGATTTTTTGTTTTCCATTTTCCTTTTGAAAGTCACATTTCCTACTTTTTTCAAGTTGAAAAACTGTGCCATTACTGCTGTTCCTTGAATCTTTGGTTTTAGATTGGTTTTCCCGTAGTGTCACGCAAGTAATAAACCAGATTGTCCCCTAGTCCCAGCTTTCTCTGTAAAATTGCCAACTTCTGTGTCAGTTGGAGGCATTTCTTCTATCTGTTGTCATATTTTATTCACATATATATTTGCCTTCCCTATCTGGCCTGTCTCCCTATTGAATAAACCTTTGGGCTTGTATATTATCTTTGAAATTATGATCTGTTTTGCCAGAGATGGATATGGCTCCAGCAGCACTTTTTTCATTAAGTTGTTCTAGGAGCTGGGTTGAATTTTTCCTTCTGAGTATGTGGAAAGAATGACAATAGGTGCTGGAAATTAAGGAACAAACCTAAAGCTATGTGACTCTTAAAGTCAGTATGAAAAGACTAGTTTCTATGAGCAGAGGCAAAACAAATTACTTGAAGAAGTTGTTGTTTACCCGTTTTAGTGTCTACTCAATGCATTTTTGTACTGAGACACAGATGTCATTCCCCGTTACTATTTAAAGTATACAAATATACTTATTTGGTACCAGAAAGATAGTACTTATCCTGTATCTTTACCTTCATCCACTTGAAAGCGGAACAGTTCTTTGGGTTTACTTTTAGGAATTATGCTGAAGTAATAAATTACCAGTTCAGTTGCAAACTTTTCTTTGCTATGTCATAGTTTCTAAATCCTTTTTCTAATGAGAAATCAATGCAAGTAATAATGAATTTTAGTTTGTAGTATGCATTTCACATAATACTCCTTATCCTTATGAATTTTGGGTTATAGTATATGTATTTCACGTAATATTCCTTAATACTTTGACTTATGCATTGTGGAAGCAAATGTATGAGTCATGTAAATGATGTTTATTATTAATTATGTGTAGATGCTTTTCCAACATAATTAAACAAATCAGTGTTCCATGAAACTGTCAATGCAAATAGCATTTTCCTATCTACTGTTTTTCAGAATAGAATTTATCTCAAGCAGGGATACTCGCAATATAGTAGGCAGCAAAATAACTGAGTCCTTTGGAATTCATAAAAATCCCAAATATTTTTGAGGGAGAAATTTTATTTCCACTGGATTGTGTCAGCAGTAAACTTATGATACTGTTGTGCTGTTGATAATCAGTATTATTTGATCCCTGATTCTAGACATTAAATTTTTGTCTCCTAAAAATTGTTGATACCAAAATTTGAGATGCTGCAATTCCATTTTCTCTGTTTAGATTATTATAATCCTTATATATTTATAATGTTTACTATATAAGCATCTCTTTTAGTGCTGTGTGGTGATCATTGAATTGTCAGTGAGTTTGATTTTACTAATCTGGGACTCTGAATTTGTTATTTGTTCTATCATTCTTGGTTCCTGGGTACGATCATCTTTCTTATTTTGGTTTGTTTCCAGACACTTGAAGTAAGAGATGTTTCAGGGCAAATATAATATCCTAAGGATTCAAATTATTTTGCAGTACTCTGCCCAAAAAGGCTTAATTTTGTCCTTGAAGCATTTGAATTGATGCACCATGAATTAAAGAATCATTTGAACTTGATATGACAGGGAAGCTAACAAGTGTTTTAAGGGTCCTAGTCTCCTTTTATTCTTGTGCCTAGAAACATGTCTCTTGCTGTTCTAGGGTGTAGTGGTTTTTAGTACCTGTACTGTTGTAGGAAACCCATGGAAGGAAATAGTACATGTTGAAAAAGCAGTTGTAGATTGAGTCAGCATTTTCTAAAAGCTCTTGGTGTATGTAAATTTAAAAAGAGTAATATTAGCAGCAGATGTTAATGATTTTTATACTCCTGCTTTATTAGTAAGTTTACAATACAATCACAGGTAGAAATATTTTTTCCTTTCAGAATTTTCTAGACATCTCCAATTGTTGTATTTTCTGTAGCACACTTGTGCAGCTATGAGTTTAGTCTCTACTTCATTCAAGTCAGCATTGTGCCTTCCCTGGCTTTCGCTGAATACTGATCTGGTACATATGGGTATTTTAAAATTTTAATTCAGAGAGTGGCAGTGAGTGCTTTCTGCAAATGTAGGATACAATTCAGAGGAACAGTTTCTTCCTCAGCAAGTAATTGGCATTTCTTGAAGTAATAGTTTAGCTTGTACAACAAGATAAACTTTTCTCTTTAGTTTATGATGGCACTTTCTCATAGCACTTCTGAGAATCTCGTAAAAATGCTAGTTGGCATGCATTGAAATAAAATAGTATGTTGTAGATTTGTAATGAAAAATATTGCCCAGTAAAAATGAACTGAATTAAGATGGGATTTTGAAAATAATGTTTTCTTTTTCTCTTGTATATGGAATCAGAAAGCTTACACATGGTATTTTAAAAGATGATGTCTGCCTTTTGTGTTAGGTCTATAACTTAGTTCTGTTCAAAGTCCTAAAAATACTTGTTTGTAGTAGGATTGTGTTTGAGCAGCCCGAGTGCATATTGATCCAAATAACTATTGCCAGTGTTTTTTAAAGATGTGTGTAAAACAAGTGATGGCCTTGTGAACAGTAGTCTTTAATCACTACACCTGCATATAGTGTAGTCTTTAATCACTACATCTTTAAATGAATACCAGATGTTATGGGTGCAGTTTGGGTTGTGTGAAGATGCAGTCTGCAAGATGCAGCTTTCCACTTGCCACAGATACAAGCTGTTATGCTTGAAAGATATTTCTGTGGTCTTTGTTGTGAATGAAAACTTGAACCTGCAAATGAAAGAGATCCCCTAAATTTTGGGTTGGTTTTGTTTTGTTTTATTTTTTCAAATGCAAAGTTCGGTACTGCTAGCATGATGCAAATATGCATTACAGTTTTAAAACATTGGCTTACTTCAAACGAGTTACATGTAGAAGAAAATGCAGATGCAGCTGAAGCTTCAAGCAGACTTTAGGCTACTCTGGCAAGGGAGGATGAGGGAGGGTAATTTTTTCAAGTGTATTTTTCTGTGGGAGGGATCTTCCAATTAGTTCACCAGAGTGTGGATTTTCAGAATGTACTGCAACACTGACCTGATACTTTGTAAGAGACATACCTCATTTCTACCTTTAATGTTGGAGAAATCATGTGTTTTTTCATTCATTCCTGCTTGTATTTTAAAATAACTGCTACAGAGCTGCTCTTTTTCTGTGCCCTCAATAGCCAAATTCCAGTGAATTGGACCCATTGTATGTAGTTGAAGTGCTCCTGCACTGCAGCAAAGACAGTTTGAAAAATTCTGCAACTGAGTCTGCAAAACCAGCCAGACCTGATGAGAGAGGCGAGATGCAGGTTTGTTACATGTATTTATTCTCAGTAGTTCCTTATAAACTTTCCCAAATTGTAATTTCCAAACCATTTGTAAACTCTGGTAAAAGAGGGACAGATGCATTTAAGGAAGAGAAAGAATCTGTATGTACATCTAACTCTGCCTTCTTAATAAATTAATGTGTTTTTAGTAGTACTGTTTGACAGATGCTTTTTTTTTCGCAGTATCTTGTCTATGGGAACAGAATTTCTTTTTTACTTATGAAAATTATTAAGGCTGGAAAAGATTTTCAAGATAATTTAGTCCAACCCTTGAGCACCAGCTTATCACTGACATCGTAGCACAAAGTGCCACATCCAGTTGTTTCTTGAACATTTCCAGAAATGGTGATTCCACTACCTCTCTGGACAGCTTTGCATAACTCTCTCATTCTAAAATTAAATTGAATTTTTTTTTTTAGTGAAAATATTTCCATTATTTTAAATTTAAAATTTGAAACCCTGTAGCAAGACAAACAGTTACAATTTTCAGATCAAAGGCAGTGTAGTTTGTCTGCAGATTTGTTCTCAGAAACTCCATTTAAACCTTGGAGATAAATGCAGTTGTGATTCATCATAGTGTCATGATGGATTTCATACTTAGGAAGATGTATTTTCTGTCTTGATGTTCTGTGCTGGTGGCATTCTTAGTTAAGTATATGACAATAATTTGTCTAGTTTGGATCAGAAGAGAGGTATTCCAGCAGGTAAGACACAAGGTAATAGAAAAGCTGGTTTTTTGTTTTCAGTTGTAGTCTTTCTTCAGATGTAGCTGCATTCAGAATTTTCCCATTTGGACAATTACTCTTCTTGTTTATGAATACTTTAGATCATTAGCAGCATTTCCTGCTTTCTGATACTCCTTTATCCACTTCTGTGTCCTTGAGCACTAAGTTTTCCTTTTCCCTTGACAAAGTTTTAAGGGAATAAGAGGTATGTTTTTTACTGGTTTATGAGTAACTACACTCTCTTTGATAGGTTGTTCCTGTTTTGGTGCATCTTGTCTCAGCTATCAGCAGTGTCCGACTCTACATACCAAAAGACCTGAGGCCTATTGATAACAGGCAGAGTGTGTTAAAATCTGTACAGGTAAGTTCCACTAGGTTGTGTAAGTACTCTGCTAAGTGAGGTACTCTTAAACCCAAGGAAACTTGTTCTAAAGAAATTTGAACAGTAAAGTTTCTGTCACATCTTCAGTCTTATTCTTTAAAGGGGTTGGAAGCCACAATGTCTATCAGTTGTTTCTCCTTGTGAAGTAATTTTAAACTGATTTTGAAAACTACTGAAACATGACTTACATTACAGCCTCCTGTGTCTCTACAGTTATGCCAGCTTATTTTACTGTTACTTACCTTTTAAAAAATCTTTTTTCATCATTTTAGGAAGTACAGAAACGATTTCCTGATGGAGTGCCCTTACTAGACCCTATTGATGACATGGGCATCAAAGACCAAGGGTTGAAAAAAGTAATCCAAAAAATAGAGGCATTTGAGCACAGGATGTATTCACATCCTCTTCACAATGATCCAAACTTGGAAACCATATACAAACTTTGTGAAAAGAAAGCACAGGTACAGATACAAACCAAATTAATTTGTGTTTAGCTGCAGAGGGGGGAGGGAGGTTTATCTTCTTACTTGCTCTTCTCTTTATTTGCAAAGTCCAAATCAACTCATTTAAAATTACTGAATCTCACTAACAAAATGGCTGAGTTGGTAGTATGCCCTTCCTTGTTACAGATGCAAAGTATGTCTGAAAAGGAAAACTTCAGAGTAAATTTTCAGGAATTAGAATGTTACAGGGGTCTTTTTCACTGACATAGCACAATGCAGTGTAGGAAAAGTCTTCATAGATAGTTTTAATTGATAATTTTTAATATATTTGTGCAAACCTAAGTTGAATTGATGGGGCTTATTAGAGCGTACCAGAGAAATCATTGTGCTGTTGCTTACTGAGCTGACTCTCAGCCTGGAAGCAATGCAGTTACTTATTTTGTACAGAGTGGTACGCTCTCAGACTGAAATCGGTTGTGCATAAAACCAGCCCTCATGTTTCTCTGCTGCTTGAGAAAACAGGTTCTCCAGGAACCTCTTCACAGAAGTGGGGTGGTTCTCGTATGGGCAGCACAGAGTTACACGTGATAAGACCTGACGGACCGAGCAGCTTTTTGCAAGGATGTCTGCCGTAAGGATGTAGATGGTTACTGTGACAAACTGCAAGCCACTGGAGAAGTTCTAATAGCAGAAAATAATGCCTTTGGCTTACATTTCATCGAATAATTGGTTAGCTGAGACTTAGTATAGGTCTCAGAAGATGACACGCATTTCTCAACAGAGAATTCTTTGTCTTTTTAGTGTGGGCTGGTTTGGTTTGTTTCTCACTGTGGGTAAATAGCTTAACTTCCCAAGCTTACTAGAGATTTCAGTAGGTGAATGAAGCTATTATTATCACTATTATTATTAAATTTGTTTTAAACCTTCCTCTTAGAATATTTAGGCAAGTCAACTAGTCAAGTAGTATGTTCATATACCATTCTTCGGAGGCCTTTATGTGAATGAAACAATCTATTAAACAAGCAAGTTGTAATTCCTCTCCTTCTGGCCCCCCAGATTGCTATGGATATTAAAGTGGCAAAGCGAGAACTGAAGAAAGCCAGAACTGTCCAGCAAATGGATGAGCTCAAATGCCGCAAGCGTGTTTTGAGAAGGCTGGGGTTTGCCACGTCTTCAGATGTTATTGAGATGAAAGGACGGGTTGCTTGTGAAATCAGCAGGTAACCGGCTTCTGTGCTAACTGTTCATTGTTATGTATACACTTTATTGTAAAATTGGTAAAATTAGTACATTATGGTTATATTTTAAAGTTTTGAGACCATTAGAAAAAAGGTTCTTTAGAGACTATGTTCTGTGTAATAAAGGTAATACACTGATTCAAGCAGTGTAAGTAAAGTAACAATTTAAGGACAAAATACAATACAATAGATTTTAAAATTAAAATGTAGACATGAAAATGCCAAAACTGCCTGGATTAGGTAGTAGCATGTGTTTTTATTTAATGTTGTATATTGTATGAGAGGAAGGTCTTCATTTCTATGTTTTACGTTGAACCAGGACTGTTGGTACAGTCACTCACAAATGAGTGTAGCAGTGATTGTTGGCAGTTACCAAGTCACTGACAGGTTTACAGTAGAGCAAAATTGCTTCTATAAGAATCTGGGAAGTGGTGCATTTTAATGTAATACATTTATCAGGTACATATATATTGAAAAAGGTGAAAAAATCATGAATCAGACTTGAATATCTTACAGTGTAACTCAGATTTTGATAGGATTTTATATTTCTGAAAGTCACAGTGACTCCTTGCCTTACAGGTAAGTTTGAAAGCTGCTACTGATATTTGTTTGATAACTAGTTGCCTTGCAAAATCTGATAGCAAGTGGGGAAGCTGAATCTGAGTTTTATCTGCTTCCTGACTGTCTGGAACTGTTTGAGTTACACATCTCTCAAAAAAAAATCATATGTTGTTTTTCTCCCATCTTAAGCACTTTTTTATTAGCTCTAAAAATAGAGGCGTTTTATCCAAATAAATGAGTTTTGTATCTGCATCATGCAGTTACTTTTATAATTAATGATTAAGTGTTTATTCTTCAAGTAAGTTGAAGCAAGTTTGTTCCTGTCTTCAGTATTTTGGAAATATCCAATTGAATCTTTTCTAAGCAGTGGCAGTACTAGTTTAGTCCTTTTCATAAGTTACCTCACTCCCTGGCTCTTTCTGATCTCTTGATATTCTGTCTGGTAGAAACTAAATCAACTATTCGTACTAACTCATATGATCTGTCAGGAGAGTTTTATTGTAGTGTAGTAAGTGCCTTTAGTTTCTTTAAAACACTATTGCAGTTTCTTATTAATTAGCACTCTCCTTAAAAAGCTAATATATTTGTGTGTGTGTGTGTGTATTTGGTGTCCCTGACAGTAAAATTAAGATGCTGGTTTTTTAACCCATATCCAGTTGCTTCACAAAGCAGATTAATAGTTCTTCATTTAAAAATTACATATCAGATGTAAATCTTTCCCCTAAGCTTCATTCTCTTTATTTCAGTGCTGATGAACTACTCCTGACAGAAATGATGTTCAATGGTTTCTTCAATGATTTGTCTGCAGAACAGGCAACTGCACTTCTTAGCTGTTTCGTGTTTCAAGAACATGTGAGTTACTTCTTCAGTTAAAGAAGTCTAGACAGTCCTGTCTTCTAACAATACTGTTTTTAATTCAGTTTCAGAAATTGGTCATAACAGTATGAGCCATTGCACATTTTTGATTGCTTCCTAAGGTGTTTGACATGAACTCCCATTGAACTTAGCAAAAACATTTCAGCTTTAATGCTGATGTCACTTTCTCCATGAGAGACACTCCAAAGGTGTTAAAGTGCAGTCTTCCTCTTGCAATGAAGCACTATCAATAGATTCTCAGCATATGTGCTGCTATTAATACATGCACATACATCCGTATAGTTGAAAATGTAGAATGATTATCTCAAGAAGATGCTCAGCAATACACTCTACACTCTGGGCTGAGCATATATTTAATCCTCAGACATGTCTGTGATGTTACATGGTCAGTACCCTTGAGCATTGATGGAAATGGCAGTACCACATGGAACTGATAGCAGAAAGGCTGTTAAAATCAGACTATATGTTTTTAAAAGCAAAAACATGGGCATTTAATACCAGATGTTATTGTTTTCCCACCTGCAAACTGCATACAAGATTAGTATCACCCCAGAAAATTAGTAAAAATAAACTTCCATGTGAAATATTTTTGCAAATAGGTAACAAGATGTATCACTTGGGTTGATTCTGAATATGGAAAAAAACACTAGCAGCAGATGCTAATGCATTCCATTTGTTAGTAGAAGGGAAACCAAGGTAAGCCATTGTTAATTAGAATGGTGTGATTCACTCGACAATAGTACTTGAGTCTAAACAGCTAGGGCATAAAGATGTTCCTATATTTTGAAAAGCAGTATTTTCATATATTGCCACTGATGCTTAAGTTGTTAGAAACATTTTGTATTCTTAAAGAAAAGCTTGTAACTGCTGAAGTAGTTAATGGCAGTTCAAAACTATGATACAGCTAAGTAGAGGGAATTTTGGAAGTATCTAGAAAGCAGGTGCTGCTTTTCATAATATACTATACAGAAAAATTTTGTTGTTTTGGTATACTATACAAAAAGATTTTGTTTTCTGATCTAGCTTGAGGAACAAACATATGGGGAATTCAGTAATTTTAGTGTTTGGCAACACCTTTGAGAATTTATTGGAATAAAGTAGGGTATCACACATTGAACTTCTGGTTTTGCATTAAATTTGGTATAGAGCAAATGTATGAGAGCACTTGAGATTGTTTAATGTCTTCTTTTTCAGTCCAGTGAAATGCCAAAATTGACTGAGCAGCTGGCAGGACCACTTCGGCAAATGCAGGTAATTAGAAATCTGTCTGAGCTCAGGGTTAATGTTAACATGAGCAAAGCTCATGAGTAATGTATAATAAGTGTACGGTAAAGACCTAATTTTGGATCATCAGTGAATTCAGCTGGTACTGCATGTAATTTTGCAATGTGTAATTAATAATTAATAATACATTATATGTTTGCAAGAAATCTTTATGCTAATTTGGGACGTGCCTCTAAAAGTTTTATAAGCTTGCTTGCTACAATGTAGATTCTTAGTAGGCAGACTTCATATAAATAGTGGTTTACTTTCTGATTCTGAGTAATTTCATACTAAAAAGAAAACCTTATCCTGTAATGCAGTATCTAATAATGTGCATGTCTTTTTGTCAGTTAAATTCTTACTCTGGTTAAGTATATTATAAATATAAAATATTTTATTTTAAAGGAGTGTGCAAAAAGAATCGCCAAGGTATCAGCAGAAGCAAAACTGGAAATTGATGAAGAAAATTATTTGAATTCTTTCAGACCCAACCTAATGGATGTTGTGTATACGTGGGCAAATGGAGCTAATTTTGCTCACATCTGCAAAATGACAGATGTCTTTGAAGGTAGGCTAATTAGTTGTTGTTTAGAAGGTATGAGTTGGTAATTCTACAACAGAAAATGGTTATACTGGATAACCTTATCGTAAACTCAGATGTATTCAAGCATCTGTATGGCCAAAATCAAGTGGGAAAAATGTTTACTATTTATTTTAATTTATACTTACACACTGTTGATGATTTAGAATATTAAGATTTTTTAAAGGGATATCTCTATTCTAAAAACTTTCTATAAAGCTCAGAAATTTTGAGCATTGCAACAAAAGATAATGCTTACTTTTTTTAGTTAAAGGGAAAAGAAACCATGTTCCAAATGCTTGTCATCAGGAAGTACGGCTCTTGCATTTGTCCTCATTATAGTTAAGTTTTTAATTTATTTTGTATAACCAGTTCTTCCTGCTGACTTAATGATGACAGAAGTGAGAATTGGTAACGAATTCTCTCTTTAGATTAGTTTTGCACAGCAGTGCAATGGAGATAGTTGCAAAGCTTAGATATAACATGTCAGGCGGATTAATTTGGTTCCTAAAACTGGAATACTAGAAACTGCCCCTTGAGGAAGAATACTTTGTTTTCACTTTTAAAAGTATGATGATTTACAGCCTTCATATTTTGTAAAAACAAACCATCCAAAGGGTTGTCAAGCAAGAATGGTCAACACTAAAGGTCAAACCAGAATGAAAAACCAGCCTGTTGGAAGTTGTGAAGAGTAGGATAGCTGCACCACTCTTAGAAGTCTTCTTTTTTGAAGTTGTTACTGTCACTGCTGCCTCTCTCAGATGCTGTTTTCTTCTTTGCAAAGATTTCTTTGCAGATTCCCATATAACAACAGAATTCATGCACATAATTTGTGCATGTAATCCAATGCATAGACCTAGGAATTTTGCTAAAGAAAGTTGCTTTTGAGCCACACAAATCCTGGCAGTCTGCTTCTGCCGTCAGCAGATTCCTCCTATTTCAATGAGCATCCATTGAGCCTTCCATTTGCTATGGAGGCACCTTGAGTATGAGGAACATTAAAGCTTATGTTTTACATTGACACTTTAATGTTCAGAATACACTGGGCAGTGACATTTGCCATTTACCATATTTGTACTAAGACAGTTTTGTTCTACTCAATAGTGCCAGCTTCCTCAAAATTAGTTCTTAGTGGTCTGTTTTGAGGTCATCTCTTGTAACAGGGGTTAATGCATAATTCTTCCCTTAACTTTCAGTAGGCTGGTTTTCTGTGCTTTATCCAAAAGGAAGGGAAGTACTTCAGGCATCCATTGTTGCTTATGTGTACCTTAAATGGATTGGGGTGTTCCTAAATCCCAGAGTAGTTTACGTGGTTATCTAAGTAACTGTAGTGACTTCAAAGAAAATCAGAATACAAAATAAGCCTGAGTGTTCAAAGTGTGTTTGGCACAAAGTGCAGTAGCATTGATTTGCTAATGAAAATACCTTCAAGTTGAAATGTGTGTTGGGAAGAAATAAAAATAGGAGCAGCTTTTTAAAGCCACTAGGAAAGAAAGCTAAACTGACTTAAGTATCCTATCTGTTAACTGTAGACCAACTCCTGCTTCATGGAAGTATAAACAATAATAATCCATTTTAAAATTGCAATTTTCTTTTTCTGGCACAAAAAGCTATGTCTGCAACAAGCCCAGCTACACTGCCTGTAAACGAGTACTCCCTGGAATGGCTGTCGGGGTCGGCCTTGCGAGTGAAGATGAGCAAGGGCCTGCCACAGTACAGCACAGCCATGCTCAGGGCAGCTGCTGTGAGCTCACTTGTGTTGGTGTGTGCTCTGTGCTCAATAGGCTATGGGTGGGTTTTTCCATCTCCTGTCATTGCAACAGATTTTACTAACTGCTGCTCTTACACAGACTATTCTCATTGTAGAAACTGACATAGCCTAATCAGGCCCTATGAATGCTTTTTAGAAGAGAAACATTACTTTATCATGTCTCATTTTCCCAAGAGCTTTGAACAATGTTATTTCCATATTGATTTTCTTTTCCCCAAATATTATGCCTTAAGGGAGTAATAGAAAGGTTGTAGAGACCAAACCCCCTCCAGTGAGCAGAGGCATCTTCCTCTAAATGTGGTTGCTCAGAGCCCCATCCAAGCTGACCTTGAATGTTTCCATGTATTGAAAGGTCACAATAAGGTCTCCCTGGAGCCTTCTCTTCTCTAGGCTGAATAACCCCAACTCTCTCAGCCTGTCCTCAAAAGAAACCTGGTCCATCTCTGATCATCTTGGTGGCTCTCCTCTGGACTCACTCCAACAGGTTGATGTCCTTCCTGTGCTGGGGACCCCAAAGCTGGATGCAGCACTGCAGGTGGGGTCTCATGAGAGCAGAGGGGCAGAATCACCCCTCTTGCCCTGCTGGCCACACTACTTTGGACATAATTGGCTTTCTGGGCTGCAGGTGCACATTGATGGGTCATAGCTATAGAGCCTGACATCCAGCAGCACCCCCAAGGCCCTCTCAGCAAGTCTGCTCTCAAGCCCTTCATCCCATGTTTACCCAATAACAGTTATTTTGCCTACAGTAATTTTGACTGTCGGAGATGCTGCTGGAGGAAATAACCAAATAGGATACTGTTTGCTTGTGGCCAGAAGAGCAGAAGCATTTAGCCTTGTTTTGTGAAATTTGTAGCAGTGACTTAGGCTGAGCTGTGAGGAAAGTTCAAAGAGGAGATAAATAAATAGTAAATCACAAGTGGGTGTTAGGTTGCAGTGTAGGAGCTGTGGCACGATGCTTGTGTACATTATTGTATCCATGCAATGGACTCTTGAGTAGCTCAGGAGTAGTAACAAAGATCACATACTGTTTTACTGCCTTTGCCACTAAAAGAACTAACGCTTATAAAAAATAATCCCAAAATAAACCTGCAGTAGTTCTTGAAGGGTAGTTCTTGAAGCAGCTATGTTGTGAATCTCCTAATGCTCTATGGTTTTTGAGGAAGTCTTAACAAGTACTTGAAATAAAAAAATCAGCTAGGAATTACTCCACAGCCCAGAAAGTAGTGTGATTAGGTATTAGGTAGAGATTGTAAAGACAGTAGAAAGGACAAGCATTTGGAAACAGCTTCAAGGAGATGCCTCACAGAGAAACTTCCTGTGCAAACAGAAACTAAGTTTAAGACATTTGGCTTCTAGATAAATTGAACAGAGTTGTAGATGGAACTATTAGAGTAATTCAGGACCAGTTGCATGATGTGGCACAAAGTTGTCCCTTGCTCTTTCATACAGGTAGCATAATTCGTTGCATGAGGCGTCTAGAAGAACTGCTTCGGCAGATGTGCCAGGCTGCAAAAGCCATTGGGAACACAGAACTGGAAAATAAGTTTGCAGAGGGTATGTATTTCACTTCCACAGTGCATTAAGCAATTTTTGAAGTGATGGGGGAAGGGGCTGCACAGGTAATGAGGACTGAAGGTGAATAGTTTTGTAATGCGAAGTTCTCATGTTTACATCATAGTAAACAGCACTATTGCTGTTGTCTTTCCAGATAAAATCTTTATTACAAAGTTCTACTTAAAGGGTGGCTAAAAATGGATGTACAATGACTTCCATTTAATAACCTGTAACATGCTTATAACTGTACTTGAAAGAGTGGTTGTGTCAGTTAAGACTCTTAGATATTAATATTTTTTTCCTTCCTAATAGGGATTACAAAAATCAAGAGAGATATTGTGTTTGCTGCAAGCCTTTACCTGTAACAGCAGATGTCTTCCAGAAACTATATTGACATGATGGAACAAATTCATCAGTGTCACATGTGGCTTCCATATCAAGCAATTCCTTTTAATGGTGTTTACTTAAACCACAGTTGATTCAACAAGGCATGTACAAACAGCAGTGTATATAATATAACTTGTTACAGTTTTCAATAAAAATTTACAGTTGTAATAGCTTTCTTTTAAGCAAGAGCTTGAACCAACAGAAATTTAAAGTTTAGATGTACAATAACTGTGGTAGATGTTACTATATACAGGTTAAGTGAGCAGCCAAGAGCAGCAGCAGCAGTCCCTCAAAGGCAATTACTTATATTACAGAGTTAGACTTGTGAAATTGTTTTCTTTCAGAGCAATGTAGGTAATGTGGGTCATTCTTCATGGTTGATGATTGCTGCCAAAGTGATTTCCATTTGTTGGAGTCTCATGTAGGGTTGTATGGGAATCTTCTTTTGGTTGAAATGTACATCCTCTCACTTTGAAGAAGTCTGACACATACACAACCTAAGAGAAAAAATTAGTGTTGTGTTAATCAGTGTTAAATTATTCCTGCACTCACGAGTCTTTGAAACAAGAACTCTGCAGCAGGCAAATTCTATAACCAAAACTAATAAAAAGCTTAATCAGTTTAAAAGATTAGAAAATGTCAGGGAAGTCTTGTACAAAATTCATACATCTGTTCTTTTGATAGCTTTTTCACCTTGCCATTGACCATTTAGCCACAGAAGGTTTAAGCAAAATTCAAGGCTTGTGCTGACTGTCTTACTAGGCACGCTCCGTTACAACAGCCTTAGTTCGAACAGCTCTAAATGAAGGAGCAAAATATGATTTTTGAGGGCCCATAATGCAAGTTTAGTTAATTTTTTTTCTGTAGTTTAGTTAGAACAGAACAGGAGAAGTGGTGCTTTAGCTGGACCCAGCAGCTGTAAGGCCAGCTCTATGTATGTAGTCCTTTTCTGCAGTCCTTGAAACATAACACCTCACTTCTTCACAGCTAGGAGACATCTCCCTCACTACAAGACAGGTGGTTGATCCAATTCTGCAGCTTGCTGTCTTCCACTGCTCATTTCACCAAGTCCCATAGCAGATGTGCCGGGCACAGTGCTCCATGGAGCGCAATAAATGAGAGCCTAACATGATCCCTTCCTGTATTGCGTCTTCCCCTCCCACTGCGGAACACTGTCCATGGCGGAAGAAACAATCTCCCACCACACTGGCAGCCAGCTGATGATCCAGCACACTGCTTTAGCCACAGACCATGGGAGTTTCAGCTTCCACTTAAAGCCAGATTTCCTCAGTTCAATTTAGTGATCTATTTGCAGTTGCTGGGCTGCTATGCTCTAACCTCAGCTTGCTGTTTTTAGAGAGGAACTCATCAGTTCTTTCAGATGAGAGTCTGAGGGTGGTGGCTGGTGCTAGTGTATATTTTTAAAAATAATTTCGTGACCTTTCAACTCCACTCGCTGTAATGCTACTTTCTACTCTTTCTTGTATTACCAAGCACCTTCTGAATCATCCAACATCCTTGACTAAACTTGTTTTCCTAATAAAAGTGTCCTCACCTCTTTGATCTCTGATGTTTCTTACTCTCTGTACTATGTTTCTTGGAAAATAGCGATTGGACAAAGATGAGGAGTAGGATTTTGCCAACATGTAGCCATTTAGTAACAGCTAATGCAGCCTGTACGATTTCCCAGAGCAACTAGTAGACAGCTTTGTCTTGAACCCTTCTGACCTGAGAAAGCTGACACAGCATTTATTGTGGAGGTGGGTCTTCCCAGCTAAGCCTCAGTTCTTGGTAACTGAATCCTTCAGTATGACCTCAGTTTACTCCCATTGCTGCAGAAGTCCTAATCTATCTATGGATTAATTAGCCATAGCACTCTGGTGCCACCCAGTACAATTGTTGTCACTAAGTCAACTGGGACAAGTTTAGGCAGGTATCTGTTTCACGGGATAGCTTTATACTCCTCAGTACAGCTAAGTTCACAGGTTCCTTGTTGCGAACACATTTTTAGTACTAGGAATGCACACAAGAAATGGTGAAGGGTTTTCGTTTCCTGTCAATCTGAAAAAACACACTGTGTAAGGTGGCAAAGACAGACACTTTGGTGCTCTCCTTAGTCTTCAAGGCCTTTTCCCCCATTTACTTTATAATACATTCTTTATATTATGTTCTGCAATTGTACTTGAGATTTCAAATTTGGCTAGAAGCAAAAAGCATGATTTATATAGAGAGGCCTACATGCATTGCAGTTACCATTTCCATCTTAGTTATTTGAAAAGCTGTTGAGCAGAGACAATTTCATGTTGTCCTGTGGCTAAAACTACCACTTATCCCATTGGGCCAGAGCCTGCCTCACTCCCCAAAGTACTATTGCTAAACCCAGTTCAAGGAGCTGTTTCCCTGTTTCAGCAATTTCTGAAGCATTAGAAATACAGGTTTGCTTTCCTGTGAACACAGCCTGCAATTCTAAGGTGCTGTTCATAAAAGCAGCATTCACACACACCCACCCCCTCAGGAATTACTTACAATGAGCACAGCTACCACTGCACCCTGGATAAGTCCTGTTAAAACATCACTCCAGTGATGCTTGTAGTCAGAAACACGTGAGAGACCCACGTAGATAGATGCAGCAATAAGACCAAACTGTATAGTAGGACGTACAAGTCTTGCCCAGTCTCCTTTCATTCTTGCCTGAAGATAAAGCTGAAAGAAAAAGAAAATTTTGTTACAAAATGCAGAAAGCATAGATGCAGTAAAATTGTGTTGGGTCTTTTCAAAGTGTTGATTGAAATTTTTTTGAAATAATATTCACAGCTGTTTTAGGTGCTGTAGATATAAGGCAGGGTTTGATAGTTTTGGACTTCAATTTATGTATAACCCTAACATATTGTTCCATTCGTACCGATATGACAATGTTTCAGGATAAAGGTCCTGGTAATATTCAAGATACTTAAGGCTTAAAAATAATCCAGTGGAAGTCAAACTAGTATTTTACTCCTGCATGAACTACAGGTAAGCCTTATACAAAATAGTTTATATTTGCTATACATAGAGCTGACAAGTTTTTTAACTTCATTCTCCATTCCAGCCACCTTAAGTATGATCAGCTTTAGCATAGCATTGCAGCTGTAGCTAAGTGTCAGAACTAACGTGATGTAATGCTAGCATTTCTCAGTTGTCACTGGTATACTTCACTGAGCTGTGTTACTCACCCTTTTCAGCTGCATGCTACCACTCTGGTGGATATTGAAGTTCCCATGTATTTTCCCTCCTCTCAGCTCTGCTTTTGTTGTGTATATCTATGTTTTTGATGTATTATCTGCATTTTGCAGTATTTATTACTTTCCCATCTAATCTACTCCACTCCAAGACCCTGCCTTTGTTTCTTATCTGGCCTGTCTAGGATCTGACTGTCTACCTCTCTAGTTTCTACAAATACATTCTGTAAACATAACCAAATTTATTCTGAAACTTAATCCTATCACCAAAGAAAGCACCACAGTTACTGTGGTGCTGAGAAAACAATAATTTGGAAGTTAAATTTAACATTTCAAGTACATCTTCTTAGAGACACCTAGAAACTTCAGGGCTAAGACAAAACCTTAGCTGACAGTCTTGAAAAATGTAGAAACCAACAGCCAGGCAGCGCACCAAACTCCTGGTAAAGCCCTCCACTGCTGACTTCAAAAGCCATGGCTAACTTTGAGAAGCAGTACATTCACAATGTAAATACAGGCACAGAGAAGACACTGTAGATGCAGATGTGATACTTTCCAAAGTTAAACATTTGGGAAATGTCTCTTAGTAACTTACATCATAATTTTGGCATGTTGGCATTTTCAGCTATAAATGGAGCATCAAAACCATCAACCCCATCCATAAACAATTTTCTTTAATAGCAAGGTCAGGGTAGAATCAGACTCTACATAAGCTGCACCTAAGCCTAAACTGAAAAATAATTTTTCCCCTTCAAATTTGTGGGCACTGCATATTTCTCTGGGCCTCAAACTCACCACTAGGGAAAATACCATTTAGCCACTTCAAAAATTACCTGTCATACAAAGTTCTTTTAACAAAGGGTGTTTTAATGGACGTACAGTGATAGTACTTCCGGATGTACCAACAGTAGACCAGAACACTACTAAGTGCCTAATGGAGCAGAGGAAGGTGCAAAGAGCATATGCTGGCTGTTCTTTGCTCTTTCCCTGTTCCTACTAAATTTTCCTGAAGGCAGTTAAAATACCTTGCTGCAATGAAGTTTTTTTCCATATAAACATTTTTTGAAGTTGGCAAAGGGTGTATAGCCATAGTAGGAAAAAAAAAAAGGGTTATGAACCCTTTTGCAGATATGTGAGAAAACAGGTTTACTTATGAACAGAAGAAGAAGAAAATGGGGCAAGGCATGCAAATGCCAACTTGGAAGGATGCCAGCTCAGTGCACTGATCAACAAAGCAGTCTTCGCCCTTATGCAGCATGTATTCAAATTCTTTCTGCTTGACAAAGCATCAGACAAGAAATTTGAATTTGACATTGTCCTAGGGCAATGTTAGGATGCTCGTATCCTCAGTCGTGTGTTCTGTTTATGCTGGATACTATAGTCGGTGCCTTCAAGTCAGGCTCTGAAAGCAAAGGCAGGGAGAAGAAGCGGCACAGAGTTTGTTATCAGCCTGCACTCACTCCACACTCGGCCCTGACTGTATTGTCTGGGCACAGTCAGAGCAGAACAGAGCCCTCCTTTGCTTCTAGCTAGTTTGGCTAGCTGCGGCAGTGGAGTTTTCTTGGAACTGTTCGAACCTGCTCCCAAGCTCACACTCTGTGGCCCACCGGGGCCTGCTCTGGCAGCAGCAGCAGCCTTTCCCAGCACCAGAGGGACTGGTAACAGAGCAACTACCTACAGGAGGGACGTTCTAAATTTGCCATCTCTTTAGAGCAGCAAATGAGTTTTGTCATCTGGTATTGTTCATTTTGTGTGCTGGGGAATGCTTTGCCTATTATATAAACAGGGGCCCTTTTGGGGGTTGTCTTCCAAATTTGCCCTAAATCAGGACAGACATCTATGTGAAAGCTTGATTTCTGTTCTTTGAGAGTAATCTCCCATCAGAGAGAAGATCTGGAGCTGTTCTTTCAGCTGCAGAGCACAAGAAGTTGGCTACAGACTTTACAAATTCTAGGTGATTCTTCACACCATCAGCTCCTCTATCTGTACAGGACATGGCCAAAGGCCTTCTTGCACCGTCTACTAACAAACAGATTTACAGTGTTCTAAAACTAGGTGTGAGAAGTGTGAGAAATGATACCACAGATAAATGTTAGGCTGACTGGTCACTCCCATAGCAGCTGGTTACAATTGGGTTTGGGTTTTTGGGGTTTCTTTTGTTAAGTTGAAAATAATCACTTATTAACCAGCTGCTGCAATAGCAAATGCCATGTTATTGTTAAGCAGGTAACTTCAAACTGATGCTGCTTTTAACAGGCTCAGAGTTGTGCTACCCTGCCATGCTTCTTCCCACTACTGTGACTTGCTCTTAGAAAGACAACAGCAACATGTCTGCCTGCAACAGGCCATTAGGTCCGTGCAGGAAAATACAGCAGCCAAGGAGAGGAGGAGCTTTTGCCAATAATTCATTAAATGTAAGTCAAGGTTAATACTGGAAGTATTTCCAACTTTCCTTTAGCTAGTATTAGTCCTTATGTAGCATTAAATACACAATATGGAGATGTCCTAGCCCCAACACTGCTACTATTTTGACCCTGTTAACTAACACGGTTTCATGCTATTTACAGAACCTCCTCCTTTAATGGCATGCCTGAGGTTCCTTTACTCCTCTTTGAAGTCATAGGATGGCCTTAGAGAAAGAAACCAGAAGCAAATCCCTGTCTCCCCACCCAAGCCTCTTTTCTAGAAAGAAGTGTATAAGTAAAACGTGTGATCTATAAAACCACAGGAACTTTAGGAAATCTCATCTGGTTAATACTACTGAAATGCCTCCTACCAGCCATTTTACATATTGCCAAGAAGAAATTTGTGAGCCTACGAACACAGCAGGAGCATCCCAAACTGTTCTGGTAGTGACACGTTCCCTTCAGCAGGTGTCATTTAGCTATGTTCTATGGTTCTCTGCTCCCCCATCCTGCTGCTTGTTGTGTTTGCATCATTCATTCCTTTTAAAGTGCAAAGAGATTTCACAAGACTTCTTTTCAATGGGATTAATCTTCAGGTTTTTTCCCCTACTAATTTACTCCATAATGAAAATATGTCCTCTATGCCACACACATCCTGAACACAAATGTCTTCTTAATCTATGGTCTAGTACTTCATTTCTAAAAATACATACAAGCAATGAAGAGAAACTCTCAGCTACTTTGTGGCTTCTTGCAAGAAGCCACAGACATGAATGGAAGGGTCTCTGCTACTGGAGAATTATTTGCTACTCCACATTTCTAGCATGGCTTTTGAGCATTTGCTCAAAATAATGTATTAATTTACATAAATGCATGCCTACCTAATTTGGAAGTACAGTGACTTGTGTTTCCTAGATGGACTTCTGGAGGTGCAACCATGTGGCTTCACAAGGAAATTTCGTAACAGTTAATATAGGACACAAATTTCTTTTAAATCTACCAAAACCTACCCAGTTCATCAATCAAGATAATATTTCAGATATTTAGTTTCAATACCTAAAACTCCTCTGTTATGTTTCATTCAATGCCTTCTCTTATTTTTTCCAAAATCCAATTATACAGAAATTCTGCACTGCAAAATAACAAGTGCCTCCTGCACTTGTTCAAGAATGGAAGTCAAAAGGAAGAAATCTGGAGAGGGGAGGGATTGTGGTGATGCTCTCCCACCAAGTAATAGTACTACTTGTACCAATTGATTTGTTCTGATACTTTTCAAAAACAGATTTTCTCCTGATACCAAAAGGCCAGTAATTGCATTTCCTACAGGGGTCCTGTCCTAAAGAACAGAAGGCACACCTTCCCTTTAGAGATATACTTATTTTCCCTCTTATTTATGTCTCTCCAATCCTAATGGACTCATAGCATCATTAACTTAAGAGAGAGTGAGAAAACAGTTTCCAAGACAGAAAATTCCCCTGTGACATAGAGAAATGAGTTCTTCTCAGTTTGTTCAAGTACAAGTAGTAAGACTCTGGAGACAAAACAGAGGTGCAGAAAGTCTGTTCTCTTGAAATAAATCTCTACTTTGAGAGACTTTAGTAGTTGATACAAGTTTTAGAAGCGAGCAAGTAAATGGCATTTACTTTACTTAGCATTTACTATTAGTCATGTCTGTCTTTGGTTTTCAGTATCTGCCTGAGCAGTACAGAAGAGCCCCATGGCATTACTGTTCTAGGAGGCACAAAATACTGCTGTGGTTACAGTTAGTATTTGGATCCATTATTGGTCACCACGTTAGGAAAGTTCATACTTCAAAGCAAGTCTGCTGACCCAAAAAGTCCAAAGAGCCACAAACCATAGGGATTCTTCCCAAACCAAGAAGCTCTGATTTAGGAATGCTTAAGCACATTCAAGTCCATGTACACAAGTATGTGGTTTGCTTTGGGATTTCAGAGCTGGAGGGAGTAGATATGGAGCTACTGTGGATAGGTGGTTTCGTTAATGAGGCAGGAGTGGAAGGAAGTGAAAGCACAGGAGGCACCAGTGTTTTGAAGTCTCAGAAAAACAGCCTTTGCATAAC